TGCAGCCATGAAATTAAAAGACGCTTACTCCTTGGAAGGAAAGTTATGACCAACCTAGATAGCATATTAAAAAGCAGAGACATTACTTCGCCAACAAAGGTCTGTCCGGTCAAGGCTATGGTTTTTCCAGTGGTCATGTATGGATGTGAGAGTTGGACTGTGAAGAAAGCTGAGGGCCAAAAAATTGATGCTTTTGAGCTATGGTGTTGGAGAAGACTCTTGAGAGTCCCTTGGACTACAAGGAGATCCAACCAGTCCATTCTAAAGGAGATCAGTCCTGGGTGTTCATTGGAAGGACTGACACTGAAGCTGAAACTCCAGTACTTTGGCCATCTCATGTGAAGAGTTGACTCATTGGAAAAGACCCTGATGCTGGGAGGGATTGGGGGCAGGAGGAGAAGGGGATGACAGAGGATGAGATTGCTTGATGGCATTGCCGACTCGATGGGCATGAGTTTGAGTAAACTCCGGGAGTTGGTGATGGACAGGGAGGCCTGGCATGCTGTGATTCATGGGGTCGCAAAGAGTCTGACACGACTGAGCGACTGAACTGAACTGAAAGAATACTAGAATGATTAAGAAAAAGAAGACACCAATCACCAATGTGAAGAATGAGAGAAGAGCTATCACTGTGGATCCTACAGGCATTCAAAGAGGATAATTAGGTAATATTACACAAAGATTAAGCCAATAATTTCAACAACTTTATAGCTATTACAAAAACTGAATTTTTAATTAAAAACTTCCCACACAGAAAACACCAGGCTTCACAGTTTATTTATAATTGGAGGATAACTGCTTTACAATGCTGTGTTGGTTTATGCCATACATCAACATGAATGAATCATAGGTATATATATATATGTCCTCTCTTTCTTGAAATTCCTTCATATCTCCCACCCCATGCCACCCCTCTAGGTTGTCAAGAAGCATTGGGTTGAGCTTCCTGCATCATACAGCAAATTCCCACTGGCTACCTATTTTACATACATACACTGGTAAGATGTATGTATCAGTGCTACCCTCTCAATTTGTCCCATCCTCTCCTTCCTCCACTGTGTCCATAAGTCCGTTCTCTATGTCTGTATCTCTATTGTTGCCCTACAAATAGGTTCATCAGTACCAGTTTTCTAAAGATTCTATATATATGCATTAATATACAATATTTGTTTTACTCTTTCTGACTTACTTCACTCTGTATAACAAACTTTAGGTTCATCCACCTCACTAGAACTGACTCAAATTCATTTCTTATTATGGTTGAGTAATATTCCATTGTGTATATGTACCACAACTTCTTTATCCATTCATCTGTTGATGGACATCTAGGTTGCTTCCATGTCCTGGCTATTGTAAATGGTGCTGTAATGAACACTGGGCTAACATGTGTGGAAGACAATATTTGTAAGATATCAATTCTCCCCAAATTGATCTATAGATCCCAAATAATCTCATTTTGTAGAAATTAACAAGTTGATTCAAAAAAGTACATAGAAATATAAGGGACCTAGTGAAGCAAATGGAGAAGGCAATGGCACCCACTCCAGTACTCTTGCCTGGAAAATCCCATGGACAGAGGAGCTTGGTAGGCTGCAGTCCATGGGGTCGCTAAGAGTCGGACATGACTGAGCAACTTCACTTTCACTTTTCACTTTCATGCATTGGAGAAGGAAATGGCAACCCACTCCATTGTTCTTGCCTGGAGAATCCCAGGGACGGAGGAGCCTGGTGGGCTGCCGTCTATGGGATGGTACAGAGTCAGACACTACTGATGCGACTTAGCAGCAGCAGTGAAGCTAAAATAATTTTGAGAAAGAACAAATTTGAAGACCTAATGCTTCTTATTTTCAAGATTTAATGGACATCTCTATTAACATACAATGTGGTTTTGGTTTAAGGGGAGGGAACATCAACAGACCCATACAGTTATGTGAGATTGACCTCTCACAGAAATGTCAAGGTAGTTGAAGGGGGAAACAATTGTCTTAAATAAATGTGCTACAGCAATTGAATATCTATGTGAAAATAATTTAACCTAAATCCTTACTTCATACCTTACATAAAGATTCAAAATGGACCAAATATCTAAATGTAAAAGCTAAACTCATAATTTATTTAAGACACACTGAAGACAGTCTTTGCAACCTTAGGGTAGGAAAAAATTTTAAGGTAAGATGTGAAGGCACAAACCATAAAAAAATTTACACATTATATCTTATCAAAACTAAAAGACACAATTAAGAACAAGCCACAGACTAGAAGAAAATATTCATAAAACATATACTTGAGCAGGGATTTATAGCTAGTATTTATAAATAACTTACAACTTTATAAATTTTAAAAAAGTAAATAGGTAAAATATTTGTTTAGGTACTTCACACACAAAAAATCTCTCTATGGGTACAGTTAAAAAGACTGACAATGCCAAGAATTGATGAGGACATAGAACAACTGGAACTCTTTTACATTCCTGGTGGGAATATAAATGATACAATCACTTTTAAAACAGTTAATTCAATCAATTTCTTATAAGGTTTTCTTGTTTGTTTTTGTTTAGTCACTAAGTCATGTCCAACTCTTTCGTGACCTCATTATAGCCTGCCAGGTTCCTCTGACAATGGGATTTTCCAGGCAAAAATACTAGGGTGGATTGCCATTTCCTTTTCCAGGGAATATTGCAGATCCAGGGATTGAACTCATGTCTCCTCCATTGGCAGGCAGATTCTTTACTTCCAAGCCACCAGGAAGCACTCTTAATAGGTTAAACATATATTTATCACATGACCAGATATTTCACTCTTAGGCTTTTTATCCAGGAGAAATTAAAATACATGTCCATATATAGCTTGTCTGTGAATGTGCAAAGAAGTTTTATTCATCATAGTTGAAGACAGCAAAGATTCAAATATCCATCAACAAATGAGTGGATAAATAAATGATGGTATATTCATACAGTGGAAGGCCATTTGGCAATAAAAAAGAAATGAACTGAACTATACACTTACAAAGAATTCATTTTATTTTATGCAAATTGTTTTTTAAAAATCAAACCACCCGTAAAGAGTAAGGTGTAAACTGCTAATTTTTTGTTTAGTTCTTTCATGTGCAACTTCTTTTTTAACACCAAAGTGTTCTACCTCAAAGCAGTATGTCTTTTCCTGTGCTGCTTTTCCTCATTAAAATTTAAAATCTAGCAAAATATGCTACTTACCAATATAGTTCTTTGACATGGCAACTTCTCTGACTTCAATGTGAACAGAGCCTCTTGGTATCTGCACTACTTCCATATAGCCTGGAACACAGAAGATTACCAGTAATAAGCAGCATCTGGAGCTTGCATCAGAAAATGAGTGTTTAGTAACCAGTCAGCAGTTAAGTTTCCTTATTCTTCCATTCTTTCTATGCACTTTATAAATTATAAGTAATGAGTAAATTCCCCTTTGGGTTCATGAATACATCTAGAGTATTATTTTTCTCTAAATCATCTCAAAATATCTTCAAAGCCTCAAAACATATAATATTGGTTCATGCCTTTTTTTTTCTTCCTCAACACAGGCTCTATGGGAATTCCCATCTTAAAGAAACATTACTAAATGAAGCCAAGTAGAAATGGAATAATATTTCCTTAAAACAACTAATCTGAAGCCACATTTAGTACTTAAAAGATTGAATGCAATTTGGGGAGAAATCACTGTCTGCTTAAATAAAGAAATTTTTAAAATAAGGGGGAAATCAAGTAATTTGTCTATTTCAAGTACACCAGAGGTGTGAGGAAGAGTTCTTTCTACACACTCACCTCCTCTGGGCAACGAATCATTGAAGAACCCTTCAATGGCATCACATGTGCTTCCATCCCCTCCACAGACTCGACATCTATCTTCCCTAGCATCGGATCCCAAAATATTATCACAACCTACGTGCTGAAAACAGAGAAGAATATTCAGTGTGCCAAAAGCAGGAACTCTGGACCCACTAGTCAAACGAGTGCAGCCTACTTGTCCACTTGCCTTTCCAGCAAAGGAGGTCTAAACAGGAAACGTGAACCGCTTCTACCTTCATTCTCTGCTAATTCTAGCCAGGATTTCTCAACACATAATTTGAAAGAAAAATATTCTGATTCCCCAGGAATGTATACCTACATTTCTAGACTAGATTTCTTCTTCATTTATAGATACCATGCTTCAATTCTTAAAATATTATAATTTGTTGGCAATGGGCTCTTATTTATAACCTCAATTAATTAAGAAAAATGGCATATGGTCCTATACAACATGGGTGATAACAACAAGAGTGTTTACTGAGCATTATGGTTTGCCCTTTCTAAACCACTGACCCTTTAGGATATCCAATTGTTAGTATTAATGTCAAAGACTAGCTGTGGAATTGGTGCCTAGGTAAATCCCTACAAGTGAATACCTGTTTCCATCAACTGAATAAAATTATCATAAAGAAAAAGATGCAAACATGTAATTTTAGAATCTGAAAGTCTACCTTTCTGTTTTGCATTTAATCATAGAAATACAATTTGTATCTATATTTTTGGCAAATTTTGGCACTTTATTTGTAACTTGTCTTTTAGCCATTAATACTAGGCATGTAGTCTCGGAATATAACCTGTGCCAGGGTCTTTTTTATCTGAAAAACATTTTTATACTATCCCAGAAACAAGTTTTTCTTCAAGTAAATACGTAAATACACACACACACACACACACACACACACACACACACACACTGTATCATCTGATACATAAGGTACATTTGGAGGCAAGTTAATAAAGACAGAATTTGCAAGAAATTATAACATTAATTAAAGTAGACAGTGGTTTTTCTTTGTTTTTAAATCTTATCTTTCTCAGTTTCTGGCATTCAGTTTATACTTATCTTTAAGGTAAAACAAAAGCAGACAAGGAAAAAAGTTAAGAGAATAGTGGCTTTTGTGGCTTTTCTTACGATAAGATTCATACACAGTTCTAGGAAAACACCATGGATTTGCTCCTGCAATTTCCAACTGACTGGTCTGGCCAATTCTCTGAAGTAAACGCTTTAAAAAGGTAAGACTAATTCTATAATGAAAACCACTATAAATGCTTCGAAAGAAGACAAAATGAGCAGAGCATAGCTATTTTACATTTTGAGGAAATATTTTGCTATGAAATACATCAAATATTCTTTCATTGAGAACACACAGTGGCCATACAAATAAGAATTGAATCCTCATTCCTTCTCTTTTGCTATCATCTTGTTTATAAACAGAACATAAGAATAATGAAAATTAAATTCCAAAATATTTTCATAGCTCTAGCAATTCCTCTAACTAGAACACCAGAATAAATCACATTTGCAAGGTGCTTGTGAATGGATAATTCTACCTTTAACTGTGTACATTTCTTATAGAAAATCAAATGAGTCCAGAATACTGCTCTTTGTATTAAAAATTAGCACAGTATTAATTAGGAGCTACTATCTGAGAAAAAAATATAACAGCCTCAAAAACCCCGACAAAAATGGAGTGAGATTCAAAATCTGAGCAACCTTGCATTCTCCATTGATACAGATATCCAGTGAATCCGCATTGCACTGAGTCCCATCAATCACCGCAGGGGAACGTTCAGTGTAGAAATTGTAACCTTCAGCCAAGCAGTTCAATGCACAAGGTTTTACCCCACCTGGAAGAGTAATAAATGGAGAGACAGTAGAAGAAAGTAAATGGAGTGTTCCTAAGGAACAGTGATTCAATATTATCCATGGCAAATTTATGATTGATATAGACATCACTCTCTATTCTATCGCTTTCTTTGCTAAAATTTCATGTTTATTTGCATTGCTTGTGCAACTTGACGGAGGATCTGCTGAGTAATATTATGGTTTTAAAATTTCAGGTATTTCCCATATATATTTTCAATATATTTCAGGTCAAAAGGGATCATAGTGGAGGTAAGTAAATATTGAAAAGAAATGGAGGAAATAAAAGCAATTTTTAAAAACTAAAAAAAAAAAAGCTTAAGAAGACCTTGAGAATGACCTCGTAAGACAAATACAAATTTATGCAAATGATATCACTTGTTACTGAAGATGATACAAAAACTGGTACTTCAGGCAGAGATACGGTAATTGTAAAATCAAACTTAAACCTGCTTTAAAAATATCAGGGGCTTCCCTCACAGCTGGAGTTTAAGACTCTGTGCTTCCACTGTAGGGGGCGCAGGTTAAGTTGGGGGACTAAGGTCCCACATGCCGCCTGGTGCTGCCAAAAAGTAAAAATTAAAAACATAAAATAAATAAATAAATAAATAAATAAATATATTCCATGAATATGGCTTTAGCATGGAGATAAATTCTTATGAGATCATTAAATCAAAGATAAAAATATATTAAATTTGAATAATTCTATGAGATCAATAAATTAAAGAAATATTGCATAGCATCATATGTATTTTATCTTAAATAAACTGAATAAAAACTTAAAAATAAACTTTAATTAAAAATCTAAAAATAAATAAATGAATAAAAACCTAATTTTATACTGTGAATAAATGCATATAGTAACTCAAGCATTTTTGTCACTGAAATCTGTATTTCAATGGTTGTATGTATTTTTCAAGGTTGATGTGAAACAGGTAAAAATAGATATAAATAGTAGCAATTTAAAAAATAAGCAGAGTGCATATCATAACTTCTCAGTATACTGGAAAAGCAGCAATAAATATGAATTTATTTTATTCAAAACTACACATAAAAAAGCTATTAATAAATACATAATTATTTTAAAATGCTTTCTTTTGAACTCTTGCTTTGGTCTTATTATAATGACCTTATAAAATTTATCTTTGAAATAAAAAAAGACTAGTTCTAAACAAGAAAATTAGGCAGGAAGATGACATGCCTAGGTCTTAGTGAAGGTAGAAGCCAGATCTCTACAGAGTGAAGTAAAAGAGAAGCCAGCTGAGTAGAGGAGGCAATAAGAGAGAACAATCCATTAGAGGAGATCACTGTTGACGTTTGGCATGTAAGAAGACGGCCCAATATTGCCAGACCTTCTGTTTTTTCAAGAGAAGATAAAAACCTAGATTTTAAAACTATAAACTCTTCTTGGCAACTCATCTAAAGTTTTCAAAAATACTGTGGAATTTAAAACATGTATATAAGTAAAAACGGTTCCTGAACTGCCAGTTTACAACTTCTGGCTGAATTCCATGTTTTCTTCCATTTTCAATGTGTACAGGCTATAGAACGTCTATATAACTTATAATGTTATTATTAGGCTTAGGTTAATGATACATTTTGCTCTACTAAGCACAGAAATAACAAGTAATAAATAAAATAATTTCTTCCTGAACTGATAATCAAGGTATTATATTTATTTTTATAAGATTCTTGTGAATAAAATTGCTCTAAATTTCCACAGATCTTACTGGGAATTTTTTTTCATTACTACCCAATATAGTTCTTTCCCCATCTCTTTATTGCAATGCTTTGGAATTTAATGCAGTTTTCATGCATCAGGTTTTAAACAGAGAACCTGAGTCTTTTATTTATACAATTTTAGCATTAATTATGTAAGGCAGTATTTGATAGGCAGGACATATAAATGCTATGGTATATTCCTTAGCCCACTATGCTATATGATAATAATACAAATAAATTTATTCTTCTTTTATTGTTGAAGATGTGTTCAGCTTCCTCCACTACAATAGGTTTTTAGAAGAGGTAATGTTACTATTTCAAGAAGGGATTTAAGATGATTGAATTGAAGTTCACATTATCAGTTACCTTCATTTAAAGCTCATTATGAATTTAGGGTTAATTTACTAAGCACACAATTATCAAGATGCTAGTGATTAAATCTGTGAACTATTTCAGAGACTTACTTCTACAGTAAGACAAAAACAATCCCAAATGTATATGTATCTAATAAAAGCAATTCAAAATACATGAAGCAAAACCTTCAACCACACATAAAAAGAAAAGCCGTAGAATACTTGAAGATTTTAAGACACTTCTCTCAGGAACTAATTAAAAAACCAGAGCAAAAGAAAATCATAAGGATTATATAAAAGACCTGAACAATATTATGTCAACTTGACATGATGATCATATAGAATACAATATCCAAAAATTGGAGAAAATACATCCTTTTCAAGTATACATAGAACATTCATCAAACTGGACAAGAAGCTGTATCATAAAACAAATTTTAACTAATTTTAAAAATTTAAATCATGTAGACTATTACTGATCATAATATAAATAAATTATAAATCAATAACCAAAGAATCTAGAAAATTTTAAATTATTTAGAAATAAAAATAACATAGCTTTAAATAATACATGGGCCAAAGAAGAAATCACAATTTAAATAAAAAAATATTTTTAACTGAAGGAAATAAAAATAAATAGAATTTTGGGAATGCAAGATAGCAAAATAAACCCCTCAACCAAAATAATAATAAGAGCGAAAAACTAATTAGAAAAAAGGATAAAAACTTTTTTTCCTTTGAAAAGAGTAATAAAATTGGTAAACTTCAAGCAAGACTGATCAAGAAAAAGAGAGAGGATACGTATCATCAATATCAGAAATACAACAGTATATATCACTACAGATCCTACAGATATTAAACAGGATAATAAGAGAATGTTATGATAGTTTTCTGCCAATAAATTGGCAACATGGAAGTAACATACATTTCCTGAAGACAAACTCAAAAACGGACATAAAAATAAAAAATGTGAATAACTCTGTATCTATTAATGGAGTTGAGTTTAAAATAAAAAAAAAATTCTTTTCACAAAGAAAATACTGAGCCTGGATGGTTTAATTAGTAAAATCTGTTCTAAGGAGGAAATATTATCAACCCTACGAACACTTTCAAAGTAAATAAGAATTCTATTTCTGGAAGCCAGATTAACTTTGACACCAAAACTTGTCAAAACCATGACAAGAAAAAATTTACAAATAAATATTCCTTATGAAGATAGATGCAAACATCCTTAATTAAATATAAGCTATTAAGCCCAATAACATATAAAAAAGGTCATCAACACCTGGGGTTTAATGTGAAAAGCAAATGTTGGTTTGGCATTATAAAATCTATCAACTAAGTCACTCTATTAACAGAATAAAGAAGAAAACACATAAAATTGACACATGCATAAACTGTACTGAAGGGCCAAGTCAGTTAATTAAGGGAAGAAAATAAAATAAAAAGGCAAAATATTGGGAAAAAAAATAGTACCTATCTCCAGATAGCATGACAACTTACCAAGAAAATTCTAAACAATCTACAAAACAACTATTAGAACTTGTAAGGAAATTTAGAAGGGTCACAGAATATGTAAGTTAATATATAAAAATCAATCTTATTTGTATATATTAGAGCAAACTATTGAAAATGAAAAATTTTAAATCTTTATTTACAATACTGTCAAAATCATAAATTGCTCAGGAAAAGATTTACTAGAAGATGTGCATGACCTTAAACCTAAAACTATAAAACACAGCTGAGAGAAGTTAAGTAAAACATGGAGAGAGATACCATGTTCATAAACTGGAAAATTCAATAGTTAGCATAGTAGTTCACCCTCTATTGATGCATAGATTCAACAGGACAACAATCATAAGTCCAACATGTCCTTCTGTAAAAATTAACAACTGACTCTAAAACTTATGTGGAAATGCAAAACCCTTAGAATATCCAAAGAGCTCTTGAAAAAAAGACCCAAGTAGAAAAGCTTATACTACCTATGTTCAAGACTATACAGTTAAAGTAATTAAGTCAGTATGACACCAGGATAGGACTGACAAATACATCAATGAAACAAAACAGAGTCTGTAAATATACTACAAATATATATCATACCCCCAAGTTATTTTTAGAGTGTTGATCTAAAGACCAAAAACATAAGGTTTTAAAAGAAACATAAAAAAATATCTTCCTGAGTTAAGGGAGGCAAAGATTTCTAGGACAGGACAGAGAACACAATGACTATAAAATGTTTAAAAGCTAAAAAATTAGAAGTCATCAAAATTAAAATCTTATATTCATCCAAAATATTATTTAAAACATAATGAAAAATAAAGTAAAAGTAAAGAAATATTTTCCCCTAAGCTATGAGAAAATACTTATAAAATTTATAAATGAACCACTTGAAAATAAAAAGATAAATATCCAATTTAAAAATAAGCAAAGGGTTCGAACAAACATTTTATAAGAGAAGATATAGAAATGCTCAATAAGCACATGAAAATGTGCTCAACACATTCAACAGTCAGAAAACACAAATTAAAACTTCATTGAGACAACATTATAATAGACCCAAAAGAAGACTGCGAACACCAAATGCTGGCAAGCGTGAGGAGCAAACAGAACTCTCATACATTGCTGGTAGGAGAGTGTTTGGTACAGTACTTTGGAAAAACATCTGCAAGTTTCTTTTAAAACTAAACTCACAGCTATCCTATGGCCTAGCAATCCCACCCCTAAATATTTACCTAAGAAAAATGAAAACTATGCCCGTAAGAAGACATACACAAATGTTTACAGCAGCTTATTGATAGCTGCTGAAAACTAGAAACAATACAGGTTTCCATCAATAGCAGAATGGAAAAACAAACTGGTTAGTACAATGGAATACTGCTCAGCAATAAAAAAGAATGAACTAATTACATTTGCAATGATATGGATGGATCTCAAAAACATCAGGCTTAGAGAAGCCTTACATGAGAGTAAATATGGCATGATTTTATTTACACAAAGTTCTGTAACAGACAAAACTAATTGATAGGGGAAAAAAAGTTAGAACTGGTTGTCTCTTGTAAGTAGGTGGAGCCAGTTGCTGAATAAGAAGGATGAGGACTATGAGAATTTTGGAGGCAGTGGTAAAGTTCTATAACTCAGTAAGGTTTTATAGGTGCACGTGTTTGTCAAAACTCAGGGAAAGTACAGTTAGGTAGGTTAAGATCTGTGTGCTTCATTGTACATAATCTTCCCTCAAAAGAAAAATAAATATTGAACTGCAGTTAATCTTATGCATGCTGAAGTATTTAGAGAGGAAAGTATACTGATGACTATAATTTACTTTGAAATGCACCTGAAAAACAGAATAAATTAATGAATGGATAAAGAGATGACTAGACATGTAGTAAGTATATTAAAATATTAATGATAGAATCTTGGTGGTACATATACAGTTGTCACTGAAAAATTATTTTAACATTGCTCTGTGTTGGAAAGTTTTCAGAGTAGGATGTTGAGGGAATTTCCTGGTGGTCTAGTGGTTAGGACTCAGCACTCCCACTGCTGGGGCCTGAGTTCAATCCCTGCTTGAGGAACTAAAATCCCCTAGCTGCATGGTATAGCCAAGAGAGAAAAAAAAGTAAGATGATGGAAAAACAATAAATAAAAGTTTTTTTAAAGAGTACATTTTATTTTTCTAAGAGAAAATTTGAACAAATTTTAGTTTGTGCTTTGGGAGCATAAGAAAACTTGTGCTTACCGAGCAATTAGGTCTGATGCTTGCCTAAATTAGAGCAAAACATGTTTCCCTAAAAAAGAACAATAATCACCTGTGTAAAGATCCCTGGCCTTCCATTCAAAGGGCTGGATTAACAATAAAAATAACAATAAAAATAATAGCCAACATTAAAAAAAAAAAAAGATTCTTGGCCTTTGGCCAAGAGAGAAACACATTTTCTTAGCTTCTTTTGAGCTGATTTATATCAGGGTGACATTTCCAAATATTTGATAATTATAAATTATTATAATGTCTATACACCTCAAGGAAGTCTCAAGAATTCAGAAATATTTGGATTTACACCCTTTCTAGGAACTCTGTATTTAAATAGAATTAGGTTTTAAAAAATGATTTCTGATCATTTGTACTAACATATTAACTTTACTACAGGGAAACTATTAATAAAACAGGAGACCTTTTTAGTACTAGAGCACTTTCCTGCTTTGATTTGTAAACATTAATTTTTATTAGTCTGTATATGAATGTATGGGTATGTTTGTATGTATTTATATATTCTCTTATATTTGCAAAGCTCTCAACCATAATGAAAACTCTGCCAGGTTATACATTACCTCCAGTATAGGGTTTCCAGTTATAATACTTTCCACGGAAAGGCATATTGTCAAAGTCTGCACATTGTTTCTCTCGAAAATCTCGGGCCCCCAAAGGACAAGGCTAAAATAAAATAAAATAATAAACAGCATGATTTTTGAAAAATACCAAAACCAAGGGACAATGCCCCTATAATTAAAAATGTCTGAACTCCCAACACATTAGCTCACTCCCTTATCCTTGGGCTATAATTCTGGCATTTGCTTTACTGTTTTACAACCAGTATTCTGACTGAAGTGTCTGAATTGTAATCTTAGCCACAGAAGAAATAACTGAAGTAATTTAAACAAAGTTAAGTGTTAGACAGTTTCCATATAACTTTACACTCAGATGCATATCATAGTCCACTTTGCAATCAATCAATTTAATTAGGTATCTCCTTATAAACAGATGTAAAAACTAGGTGAAGAAACTAAAACACAAAATCCTTTTTGGTAACAGTATTTGAAAAGTCCAGTTGCCACAACTACTCCCAGCTCTTTATTTTAAGAAATCAAGAGGCAGGTTTGTAACATGACATTCAGCACTATTAATTGTGGTTTGGATCTCAACTACTATAGCTGTTTACTGTCTAGTCCTGACAAAAACCATATTTTGAGATGTGGAATGAACTGGGCAAAATCCTAGGCCTCAAGTCTAAACACCTTTAAATCAAGGAATTTGGACTTATTAAGATTTACATTTAATCTATTTACATCACGGAAAATAAAATTTTCAGAACGTGTGCATGTGTTGGTTGTTGGAGAAGAGAAGGATGTTGAGAGAGTGAAGAGAGGATTATTTGTTTTTAAAAGATTGGAAAGCTTTTTCTACCTAAGTTTTTTAGAGACGAAAATCTTGCCAATCTAGCTAGGTCTAGATTCCAAATTACACATTATTTAGGGCCATCCTAAACTTAAAGTTCACAAAGAATTAAAAATAGAACTTCTCATAATGTTAAGGAAATATGACCTAATTTGACTTATCTTTTAGCGTTCTGTACCAGTAGCATCTAAAAAACTAAGTATTACTTTTGAAACAGGGATGGAGAAAATATTTCCCTTAAACATGACAGAACAAAACAAGTTATTAGATGAAATTCTCAACTGTGAACAAATATGTTACATTCTCAGAGATCATTTTGAGGACATTTTACTACCCTCCCTTAGATCTCTACATTTCCTTGATACAGTTTTCTGAGATCAGTCCATTGCAAATGTCCTTTAAATCAAGTGCAAAAAATAATGAGGCTACAATGTGCAAACATGTGCAAGGTCATCATTACTTGCTATATACTGAGGTTCGAAATTCCACCATATCAAGTTTAAAGCCTCAGATTCTGAAAGTAGTGGCAGCAGGTCTACATTCTGTTATGAGCCTTGCATTTTAAGATATTTTCTGCACATTAAAATATGACACTGCAATGCTAAATCCAATGGTTTTACTTATCAAATTATCCTTCATATTTGCCCTTTAAAAAAAATGAAAAAGAACTATTCACATAGGCTTTGCAATGCATCACACTAGAAAGATATGCTTCCACCATCTTTTGTTTTATGGTGTGCTAGTTTTTGTAATAAAGAAAAGCTTCCCATTACAAGACATTTTCAGGAAACCCCAGAAAATGACCAAGGTTACCAGTGGCTTTGTATGCAGCAAGACTAGTTTTAAAGAAAACATCCTCAATTTTACCAAACACAAGTAATTTGAAATACAAAAAAAAAAAAAAAAAGAAAGAAAGAAAGAAAGAAAAGAAATATAAGTTTTCACACAATACTTAAGAATTTGTATTCAACCACCTAAAAACTTCATCCAGGCATGTCTTTCAATCTGTTTGGAGTAAAATATAAAAATGGAAAAACTACAATCCTATCTGAGGCAATAAGTATATGACAGCACATTATGTTGTCTACAGGTGCTGTATATAGGTGAAAGACTGAAGTGTCAAATGCATCAGGGAAATATTTGTTGAGGAAGAAAATCTTGAGTGCATCATAAGAATTATAATAAAAGTGTCATACATACTTACTCTTTATAACATTATAAAATATTAAAATATTATAGGAATTGAGCTGCTTAAGAAAGAAAACAGACTTCTATTAAGAATGAAGCCAGGACTTCTCTGTGGTCCAATGGTTAAGACTGCACATTCCCAATGCAAGGGAGCCAGGTTCAGGGAACTAGATCTCATACGCTGCAACAAAAGATCCCGTGTGCCACAACTAAGAACCAGCATGGCCAAAAAAAAAAAAAAAAGAATTAAGCCAAGTAAAGCCATGGGGAAAGAAAAGAAAAGGTCAATTTTGGGAATAGTTGGATAAAGGCCATCCTGGATGAAAGAAAGGAACTGTATAGAAGCATGTAAGTTAACATTTCACAGATAAAAATTGGTTTAAAAAAAAAAAGCCCTGAAATAATAAATGAAGCTGAGGGACACTCACTTAAAAAAAAAACAAAAAAGAAACAAAAATCCTATTCTTGACCATCTTGTAACATCCTAAACAGCAGAGAAGTAAAAAGTCCAAAAGAAGATTAGTTTAATGACATATTTGGATAACATTTCATAAGATTTCTGACTTATTCTTTTCTTGTGATAACCACTCCCAGGGTCAGCATAATAAAAATATTAACAGTAAACATATTTACGTTTTTCTGAGCATTTAGTAAGTACCTATTCCATGGCACACTGTTCAGAGGTCTCTAGATCTATTATAAGTTCTCTCACCACTCTTGAGGTGGTTATAATTAGAAATCTCAATTTACAACTGAATAAATTATATTTTATTACAGTCTGCTTAGTAATAGTTTCAATGTGCAAAGACACTGCCTTCATCTGAGTGGGGGCTTCCACCGGACTCTGTAAATGCTACAATAACAACATAGGTTTTTAGCTCTTACAACGTACAAAAACCTAATAAGAGTAACTTGGGTTCTAGACCTAGCCTTGTCTTTACCAGCTGCAAGTTTATCTGCTCTAACTACTTTTTTCTTATTTATAAAATGAGAGGGTTAAAGTATGAATTTTCAGACAGAAGACAGATTTGATTCTAACTGATTTATTTCATTTACCGCCTTCAGCAATGTATTCAACTTTCCAGGTCTCATCTATAATCTAGGGATAATACTAGTATTTACTCTGTAGGTGAGGATTTATGTAAACTGTTTGGTTCTGTACCTGGCAGTGGCTCAGTTCAGTTCAGTCGCTCAGTCGCGTCCGACTCTTTGCGACCCCACGGACTGCAGCGCGCCAGGCTTCTGTGTCCATAACCAACTCCTGGAGCTTGCCACCTGATGGTGGTAGCACTCAATAACTACTAGCAGTTGCGTGATCTTTGGTCTAGGCATCCTTAGACTCATTCCTCACCCTCCTGTTGGTCTGCTCTTTATTTCAGGGGAACAAATCTGCAGGCTCTATTTCACAGGATTCTGTCAGTTGCCTTCTAGTTGAGTTCAGGCACTAGAAGGCACTAGTGGGAGAAGCCAGGGTATTTCATTTCTTCTCTACCTCCGGCAGCATCTTAGGCAGAAGCAGAGTACTTTTGTGGCTTCAACATCAAATAGCCACCCTTACCCTCAATCCTATGGTTCCAGATTCAGCTGTGTGATTTCAGTCTCTAGCATGTAATAAAACTACCTCCTTCCTGTTTTTCTGGTAGAAGGGGTGGTATCTTTCTGCTGATGCTGATCTATGGGCTTGTCAGCCTCTTCCATTATTCATGTAGCCAATCCTTTGCATTAAATTCCCTCAATTCAAATATTCAGAGGTTCGTATTATTATGGTTGGATCTTCACAGATACTACAGTTGATGATGATAATGATGATGAAGAGGAATAATGAGAAAAAAAAGAGAAGAAAAAGGAGGAAATGATAGTAATGGTATTGGTACTTGAGAGATATGTTTCCTTGGATTATATTTTGCAATTTATTGGCTAAGGGCAGAGATTGGCACACTTCTGTCAAGGGCCACACAGTAAATATTTCAGACTTCGTGGGCCGTATAATCTCTGTTGTGTGTGTGCGTGCTCGGTTGCTTCAGTCGTATCTGTTCTTTGAGATCTGTGTCTGACTCCTTGTTACTGACCAAAATAAAAGATGCCCAGGAAATTTTACAAATAAACAAACATTTTATTTTTCTAATGTACTAATCCAGTGGAATCTTTCCCCTTTTTAAAATATTTCAATATACATTGTGTTAGTCGCTCAGATGTGTCCAACTCGTTGTGACCTCAGGGACTGTACCACCACGCTCCTCTGTCCATGGAATTCTCCAGGCAAGAATACTGGAGTGGGTTGCCATTTCCTCCTCCAGGGGATCTTCCTGACCCAGGGACTGAACTCGCTTCTCTTGTCTCCTGCATTGGCAGGCGGGTTCTTCACCACCAGCACCACTTGGGGAGTCTATATCATCTGTTACAACTACTCAAATGTGCCATTACATTTTTTAAAGAAGACATAGACAATATGTAAATGATAGGGCTGTGTTCGACTAAAATCTTATTTACAAAAAGAGGCGATGGGTCAAATTTGACCCAGCAGGCACAATTTGCCAATCCCTGATTCAGGATGTTAACATATAGATACATCTGTATGTCAGCATTGTGCAGAAGAACCAAGCTCAATTATTAATTTTTGAGTCAATACAGAATCATACACTTTAAAGAACTGATGTCAGATTATAAAATAATTTGCATAAAATGCTTAAACTTCCTGTTCAATTATCCCCATAGGGGTCATACACTCTGTATAATCTACAGAAAGATACATAAAATACTTTTCAGATGACCACAATTATTATCCAGCTCTTTCTTTCAGCCAAAATCTGTTTTCCTACAACCCAGTGGTCTTGTGCCTTTCTTCTGAACAAATCTAATCCCTAACTGAAAGGTATCTAGACCTTGATGGCTTTCTTATGGGGACATAACAAATTATCATTAGTACTTTTAAAACCAGGCACCAAGAACTGGCCTTAAGGGTCTTTTTTTATATTCAGTAACTATATATAAAAAAATATTTTATGTATCACATATGATCTAGGCTCTGGAGATAATGCAGTACAGAAAACAGAATAGGCCCCTGCTTTCAT